GCCCCCCCCCCCCCCCCCCCCCCCCCAAACAAACACGGGGCAGCGGGTAGGGCCGCACGGCAGTCCAGGCACAGGCTCTGGGCAGCTGCAGCAGTGGGGGAGGGGCAAGCACAGACACACAGTTGCAACTTGCAGCAGCCCGGTAGCGTGTAAAGTATTGCTCACCACAGCAGGCAAGACTGTTATGGGGAAGGGGTGTGGGGGTCCCCCCCCCCCCCCCCCCCCCAAACAAACACGGGGCAGCGGGTAGGGCCGCACGGCAGTCCAGGCACAGGCTCTGGGCAGCTGCAGCAGTGGGGGAGGGGCAAGCACAGACACACAGTTGCAACTTGCAGCAGCCCGGTAGCGTGTAAAGTATTGCTCACCACAGCAGGCAAGACTGTTATGGGGAAGGGGTGTGGGGGTGCAGACCAAGGCCCCTGCAGTAAGGAACCAAGTGGGGCAGAAGCAGGGGCGGGGCAGGTTGTGGGATGCTCAGAGACTCGGAGGTTCATCCATGGGCATGGTGGGGGGTGCTCCTGCTGCTGCACACACCCTGGCAGAGGCCCGGGAGCCATGCTGCCCCCGGATCTCTGTGCAGGGTGGAGGCAGGCTGCCGCTGTGGGCTGGGTTCTGCACCCCACTGCCGCTGCCCGGGGAACAGCATGACGCCATGTGCCTGCTGCCGGTGGTTGGGCAGGAGATGCAGAGCAGTCAGCATGTGGCAGGAACATGGTGTTGCACCACTCCCCAGGCAGCAGGGCATAGAGCCCAGCCTGCAGTGGCAGCCCACCACTGCCCCATGCACTGATCCAGGGGGCACATGCCTCCGGGCCTCTGCAGGGGCGTGCACAGCAGCAGGAGCACCCTCCCCATGCCCCTGGATGAGCAGCCCAGGCTCCGAGTGTCCCATGACCTACCTTGGCCCCAGGGCCCCATTCACCCAAGCCCCTGCCTCACTCCCTCCCTCCCTGTGGGGGCAATCTGCCCCCTCATGCCCCTTCCCCATGACAGGCTTAACTGCTGGGGGGGACAGGTGTGCACACACACATGCTCAGCCCCCCCAAATAATATTTCCTCCCTCTGCCTGTGCATCTTCATCACAGAAACTGCAACATGTTACTGAGTTTGTGCTAGAAATAGTGTTGTCTAATATATAAATAATGATCTGGAAAATGGATGAAGAGCTGCATGGTAAATTTGCAAATGCCAAATTATTTAGGTTACTGGAGACTGAATAAATTTTATGGGGAATCTAACCAAGCCAGGTAACAACATGTCAGATGAAATGCAAGAATAACATATCCAGAGGTGTAGCAGGGCAGCTCTGCGCCTGGGACACCTGTGACACACAGGGCAGTGCCAACTTTTGTCGTGCAAGTTGTGGTGGTATGGTCAGCTGCTGCTGTGGTAGTGGCTGCTTTTGCACATACACCTCCCCACCCCCAAATGGCAGCTCCAGGGGCTGCTGCCCTGGTTGTCCCCTGCTCCTTCCAGTTACTCTACTGGACATGGTGAAGTAGATGTGGGCATCTCTGAGGACTTTTCAAGGTGTATCAGTAATCAAAAGAGCAAAGGAAAAAGAAGAAGGCTGAAAGGAACAGAATGGAAAATAATGTGCAAAATATAACAACATATATCAGTGAAATGCCTTCACCTGAAATGCACATCCAGTTCTTGTCAGCAAGGCTCTAAGAACAAAAAACCTAATTACTTTTAAAATGGAGCTTGATCAGATTATAAAGGGCTTATATGACGTGGTTGCCTGAATAGCTGGTGACTGTATCTGATGACCCAGGAAGTGCCTTGAAATCCTATGATTCTACAGTCCCAAAAATGGAAAAGTAAAAGTAAGAAGAAAGACAAGAATAATCAGGAGCAATGAAAAACTACCATATTAAAAGAGAGTGAAAAATTCATTTTTCCCCCATAAAGTCCAAGATAAAGTATGCAACATAAAGAATGACAAAAAAGGACAGAGCAAGAATTTCAATTTATCGTTTATAATAATGTAATAAAGAACAAGAGGAAACAACAGAATTGAAAGGTGGCAGATTCAAAACTGCTGAAAGCATGTTCTTCCATATCATATACTGACAACTCATTGCATAAGACATCACTGGTCCAGAGTGGGTTTCATATGAATTGCTAAATCACGTGTTTTGAAAACGAATACAATTCAAAATGAAAATATATAATTACAAAAATTTGAGGTGATAAAAAGACCCAACTATTTGGTGCAGCCAAACTTCATCCACAGGGTGGTAAAAGAATGGATAAGTTTCTGTCCTCTGAAAGATATGATACTGTCACGAGGAGCAGAATGCCTGACTCAGTCACCACAGCATTAAGAGGGTGCCCTTGACCTGTGGTGCCTCAGCCCTGTCTTGCTTAGACCTTGCTAGCCCTTGGCAGAGGTTTTTTTGCCAGCTAAAAGAATCATACTCTTGTCCAGTCATGCACTTGGAAAAGATGAATCCCCACTGAAATGGGACATGTGTGAAAAATCCATCTTGGTGCCTCCAACACTCTCAGAAGAAAACAATGGCTGCTTGCAGATGTTAAACCTCCCCCTCCCTCCACAAATGCGCTTTATCGAAAGCAGCAGCGAATTACTTCGACCCGGCTCTGTAGTGTCAGTAACGACTGGGCACTTTGACGGGGCTTTTTGGCAGTTTTAGCTAATAGCTGATTCAATCAGCTTTAGATAAAATTTCCCAAAAGGCCCCATTAAAGCGCCCAATCAATACAGACATCATGCGAGCCTGGTCCAACTAAGGTGCTGCCTCTTCTGGGCATGTGCTGGGCTTGGTGCAGGAGCACACCAAGTTTAAAGTAAAGTAAAGTGCAGTTTGTTTGTTTTTTTTAATGTCTGCAAGCAGCCACTATGATTAATGGTCTAATACGAAAAACAGGCAAATAAAGCCAAGGAAAAAAACTGGAGGAGCCAGAAAAGCTGTGTTCCCCTTGCTCCTGTTGATTTTACTAGTCAAAAATACTTTATCTGTCAATTAAATTCTGCATTAAAAAAGATTAATTAGATGCATGGCTGAGTCCCAAAAGAGTATAGACCAGAGGTGAGCAAAATGGTGTATCCGGCCGGTGGCTGGACTCTATTTCCCAGAAGCTCCTGCCTGCGTGGCTGGGGCCTGTTTCCATGGAGACCCCAGCAGCAGCTGTGCTGTAACAGCACGGGGCCAGGGTTTCCGTTAAGACTGGCCCCAGCTCCTTGCAGAGTAACAGTGTGGTCCGGAGCTGGGGCAGAGCCACAATCCGCTACCTGCACACCCCTGCCCAGAGCATGCAGGCTGCGGATTGCAGCTCTGCCCCGGCACCAAACCACATCACCACCGCATGATCCCAGCCCAGCTGCAGAGCAGCTCCACTCCCTGCCAATGCTGCTGGGACCCGTCTCCATGGAAACCCTGGCCCTGTGCTATCACAGCGCAGCAGCTGCTGGGGCCTCCATGGAAACCAGCCCCAGCTGTGTGAGCAGGGGGGTGCTGAGAAATGGAGTCCACTGCTGACCAGATCCGGCCAATGAGCCGGACTTTGCCTGCCCCTGGTGTAGACACTGCAACCCACAGAAAATGACATACCATGCTAGAAAGACAGTTAGGTTGTAAGTACTTGTAGAAGGCAAGCATCACTGCTAAAATGTAGAGGACAGCACCTATCCTCATTGAGGATCTGAAGGACACCCTGCACAGCTCTATTAATCCCTTCATTTATACAACTGTAACAACTCCATTTGTTGCTAGGTTTTCAAATAATGCAGGGAGGGTTCAGGGAAGTGGACAGTGCGGCTCAATTATTACACTCATACTCCAGTATTAAATAAAGAAGTGTTAACATATACGCACCAACAAAACAATAACTGAAAACCAACCTCATCCACTATTAGAATATTCAATCAGTTAAAAAACAGAATGCATTGACCTGAAGACTGGCTATTTACTTTGATTGATTTTACTTTTGTATAAACATTCAAAAGGAAAAATATACCACATTTTCTCCAAATATGAGACCTTTTCAAGAATCCTTACGACCTCTTCCTATTCAAGTTGCTACAGGGATTTTTGTTGTTGTTCTGTACTGTTTATGAATGTCAGATAATTTTCCTGTACATGCTGCAAAAAGAGAATTACTAAACCAGTTATAATAGGCTTGGCTTCCCCAGAGGGTGCTGTGGCTTATCATAGTATCTTTACTGGTGTGGTCAAGAAAAACTCTGCCATGTTATACAGTATGACCAATTCTAATTTTAGAAGACAAATAACAGATGCAAGTCATGGGCAGAAGCAAATTATTGTTGCAAAGTGTTATGTATGTACAACTTAGATTTGCAGGAATGTTTTCATTTTACATTAAGGAGAATTTTACCATCTGTTAATCTACTCATTGAAATGACTAAAACACCATGTATTGCAGTAGAAGTTACTAAATGATGCCAAGAACATGACTTTACTCTGTGACTGGAACAGACTGGACAGACTTTAGTACCTGCCTAAAGGGCGATACTGAACTGCAAATAAAAGACCTAAGCTGACAAATCCTGGTCCTTCCATGATGAACATAATGAAAAAGGACAACACCAGAAATGCAAGTTTTTACTAATTCTCCATTAAAAACACTACATGAAATGAGACAGCACTTGCATCATTTAGCATACAGATTAATTTGAAAAAGCAAGCAAGTTCCCATTAGTGTAGTTCTTTAAAAGCCTGCTAATATCTCCTGTTAGACTTAAGTACACATTGGAATACACGTCGGAAAAAAAATCCATATATTTATATAACAGGAGAGTTAAAAATATATTTATAACTATACTAGTGAACTTCCTTATGTGTTTAACTCTATTAATTTAAACTTTTTTTTTTTTTTAACAATAAACGCTTTGAAAATTAGTCTACTTAATATATAAACTGAATTTTTATTACAAAAAAATCTTTTTCAGCTTCCAATGTATATAGTTGGTCTAAGGAAAATATAAAAGCAAAATATAATCAGCCTTATCAGTTTGTAAGATATTCAACTTTAAAATGTGGATTTCTATTACCATATTATTTTTGTAAGAAATGTTTTCCACTTTTAAAATTATTTTCTATACTCGATAAATTATGGTATAAAAATACAGCGTACATATAATTAAAGTTAAATAAATCCAGATTGCAAATGTGATTTTTTTTTTTTTTTTTAGACAGGACTACCACAACCTGTCTTTTGGTAATGGGTAGCTAAAGTTTGATTACTCTTTTTAGAATAAAATTTATGTATAAGAATGAAAAATTAAACAAATAGAAATCTTTTATATCACAGTAAAAACTGTGGAAACATACACAAACTTTTAAACTATACATTTGATTTTTCTCCATTTAAACCTGAGCCTTCTGAAAACATCACTTGAAAATAAATACTTAAAATAAAATCAAAAGGAACTACAATTGTTAAAATTACTCAAAATGCAATAACAAATAAAAAAGGGAGAAAAAATCATTTTTAAAAAAGAATACATTTCCAACTGCATAAGCAACCAGTTAATTCTAAACTAGAAAGGGGATTAAAAGTGATTTGATCTGTTATCAACAATTATATCTAACCTGATTTGATTAATTTTAACTCAACAAATTCTGTGCAATGTGTGTATTTTCTGTAGCACTCAGATTCAATGGACAAAGACAAAATTTATCTTCAATAATGTTTTTCAAGGTGTCAGAGCTTTGTTATTCTGCATGTTTAATTTTTTAAAAATATTCTGGCTATGTGTTAGTTTCAGATGGCTCTTTTGACAAATAAATATACATTGGGGGAAAAGGTTTAATTATTCATAGAGGTATATCTGCATACAATCTGTGTATGCATATTATTATTTTATATTTATACTGCACATAACTGTATAAATGTATACTTCATCCAGGTATCATGCTATTCTCCTGTGTCCTTTCCAGCACCCAAAACACCTTTTCCACGTATATAACAAAATGTATAGACATGAAAGATTTTAATATTATACTGTGAAGAAAAACAGGGGGGAAAAATCTCATGAAAGAAAAATTAAACTAAGGCCCCCATAATTAGACTAATGGTGAATCAAACTTACATTAAAATGTTTATTAGTTTGAGAAAATACAGTTAGCAAATATATTTCAATGTGTGGTTAGTGAAAGCAACTACTCTGCTCCATAAAAGTTCCTTTATATATTTTTTCACAATATGCACAAAAACAGAATATGAAATCAGAAACATTTTACACATTCTCATACTTCAGAGAGCGCTAACAGCATTTTACTAGTCGAAAGCACTTTATCTTCATGTCTCTATAAGGCAGAGTTGGTGCATAATAATGTAATTTATATTGCCTAAATGTTATTTTGGGAGCATTGCATCATTTCTCAAACTTCATGACCTTTACAATTTTCTAAACTTTTATTTCCCTCATTATTCTGAACAGATTTCATTACATATTTTGAATGTAAACAACCCTGAATAATGATGGGGACCATTACGTATGTACAGCTCTGACAATTGTGCATGAAGCTGAGATGGAAACCCAGTGCATTAATTTACCTCTCATCTTCGGTAACTGCACTCCCATAAAAAGTTTTATACTCAACTCACATAAATCATGTAGAAGAAAAATGAGAAAATCTGGTGGCTAACTCATCTTCTACCATTCTGCGAAAATGAAATTCACTGAAATACCTATCAAAACTGCAATCATCAAGAGATAATGTCTTCTTAGGTCTATCTGCACTTTCCGATTTAATTTCCTCCATGCCC